CGAGCTCTGCTGAGAGACCCCTTGAAAGCCTCTTGCGTACCTTTGGAGCTTTTTAGGCTGCCTGGAGGCCGTCTTGGGCGTCTTGGATCGCCTAGTGGCCTTCGACCCATCCCGCGACCGTGCATGGGTTGGATATCGTGGGAGGCCTCTCGGGGGCATCTTTGAGGCAATTGTGGAGCCTCTGGGGGCCTCTTGTGGGGCCTCTTGGGGGCCTCGTGGGGCCTCTCGGGGGCCTCTTGGGGCATCCAGGGGGCCTCTTGCGGCGAAAGGCTCGAATTGATGGTTCGTGTTCCCCCTCTTGAGCCACTCTTGGGGCCATCTTGGGACCCTTTCGGACGATCTTGGGCGCCTCTTGGGCCGTTGTTGGGCTCCTGAACCCTATTGGGCGCTCTCTCGAGCACTCTTGTCCCGTCTTGGGGCCCCCTTGGCCTCTCCGGGCCGCCTCTGGGGGGAGGATATTAGAAAGTGTTCCTGGATGGTTGCGAACTAGGCCATCCCATGGAAAGGGGTATCTCTACATGTATGTGTATACATATATATGTATATATATATATACATAATGATAACCGACCGCGGGCGATAATAATACCCCGGAGATAATAAAGATCGGGGGTCCAGCGGGAATCATCAACGATTGTCCCGGGGAAGGTGATGTTAGTTAGACATTAAGTAGATTGACGGTGATGACGATGATCATGATGATGGTGGTCCTGGGCGCTCGGCACAAGACTGACTCGAGAGATCTCGATGCTCGTGGCTATACAACTTGCCAATAGGCGCTCGGCACAAGACTGACTCGAGAGATCTCGAGGCTCGTGGCTATACAACTTGCCAGCAGGCGCTCGGCACACTTCGGCTCCGACGCCATGGGGTCCATGCAGGGCTTGGACTTGTGCTTGGACGTGTGCTTGGCCTTGGCCTTGGCCAAGTCGTTGCCGCTTGTTGCTAGCCAACATGAGATGATAGTCATCTCAATTCGCAACTTCCCCTGTGGATTAGAAAGTTCGGCCTCCGCGCCCTTCTCCACAATGAAATCCTGTTGAACGGGGATAAAACATAGAGGGGAAAGGGGGGGTACATGATTATCGCCCGCAAACGGTTATATATATGTATATATAGGTGCATATACATGTATATAGTATATGGCGACTTCTTGTTGATGTTGTCATCTTTTACTGGTCCACAACTTCCCCGGCACTGGGGGCAACCCCAACAATGACTCTGTCACTGTCGCCTTCAAGCGTGGCGCACTTACATCCGGGTCACCTCAAGTCAGGGCATCTGGTAGCCAGATATTCCGAGGATGTCTCAGGCGAAACGTGCTTAAGCACATCGCGGACAACGTCTTGTAATCCAGAGTTGTGAGAGCGTCTCACGCGAAACGGGCAAGCGCAGCTCAATTCAGGGCATCTCGCAGTAGCCCGGGGTTCGTGGGATGTCTCAGGCGAAACGCTTCTGAGTAGTTCGCGAACCACATCTTGGAGCCCAGGCTGAATCGCGAGGACATCGCGAGCCGAATCTTGAAACCCAGAGGTGTGAGTTGCGAGGATGTCTCAAGCCTTGCGGGCCAAAGAACCTTCAAGGCACCTCGGAGCCCAGGTCTCCGAGGATGTCTCAAGAGAAACGGGCTTGAGCACCTCGTGAACTGCAACTTCAACCCAGAGTTGCGAGGACGTCTCAGGCCAAACGGTGAGAGCCAGGGATTCCGAGGATGTCTCAGGTGAAACGTGCCTGAGTGCCTCGCGAACCACATCTTGGAACCCAGTTGTGACAACGTCTCAAGTGACATGGGCCAGAGCATATCAATTCAGGGCATCTCGCAGTAGCCCAAGGTTCGCAGGATGTCTGAGGCGAAACGCGCCTGAGCACCTCGCGAACCACATCTTGGAATCCAGAGTTGTGAAGGCGTCTGAAGCGAAACGAGCCAAAGAGCCCATCAACTCAGGGCAGTCGGAGCACGAAGTTCCGAGGATGGCTCTTTGTGGGCCATGGGACGCACCCAACTCTTTTCGGGGAGACGTAAGACCCGGGTACGGGGGACTCGGAAATCCCCGACGAGGTCGTCAAAAAAATGACGAGGCCGAGCCTGCATTTTGACGAGGCCTCCCGCTGCAGACATCCCACAAAACTCCTCCTCGTCAAAATCCGAGTCGCGGTCGTCAAAAAACGATGGCGAACCCGAGTCCTGGCAAACCCGGGTCTTACGTTCCCCCGACATGGGACGCACCCAACTCTTTGAGGACAATCCCTCCCCGGCACCTCCCCGGCACCGCCATTGGAGTTGCCGGGGTCGCCCGGAGCTGTCCCGGACGACCCAGGCACCCGGGCCAAGGTAAGCAGCCCTGGATGGGGCCCAAAACAGCCCCGAAGAGTCAACCTAAGTGGCCAGCGAGGACCATGCAGCTCCAAAACACGCCTCCACCTCGAAAGACAGACGGACCGTTCGAGACATCCCCACAATCTAGGCGCGAACGGGTCCGTGACACACCCCTCGTCGGCAGAGCACCAACCCGCATCACCAGGCACGATCGAGCCGCGTCCAGCCCTGGCGACGAGAAGTGCCCCGAGAGAATTGAAAACACAAGCACTTTATTGAAAGCCATACGAGCAGTATCCTTCCGCCCCCCCCCCTCAGTCATCGCGCTACTCCTCCTCCTCCTCCTCATCCCACTCCTTCCTCGCTTCGCACTCCTCAACGATTGCTCGGAATTGCGGTGACGTATGCGAAACTGGCTTAACCCCCTCGCACGCGGCATCTCTTTGCCAAGAATTGCGGGGACGTCTCACGCCAAACCGACCAGATCATCTCGCGAGCGGCATATTCAAGCCTAGCGTAGCGACGATGCCTCAAGCGAAACGGACGAGGCAACCTTAGGTCAAGGTGTCCCAGTTTGGAGGTCAAGCGATATGGGCTGGACCACCTCTCGCGAAGCGTTTGGGAGCCCAACTTGGCGAGGATGTCTCAAACGAAAGGGGCTGGACCATGTCAAATCTGGTCAACTCGGAACGCAAATTTCCGACGATGTCGCATGCGAAACGGGCCGAACCACCTCAACGTGCTGCCAATGCCTCGACGCGCGGGCCCCTCGGGCGGCATTTTCTCTTACCGCCACAACGCTCCCGGGCACTGGCCGGGCGACCTGGGAGCACCCCAAGACTCAACCTTCTGAAAGGAAATCCGCCGACCCTGTCGGCGTGTGCGAGGCGCTTCGCCGTTCGACTCTCGTCTCCGTCGTCTCCTCGTCGTCTTCGTCGTCGTCGCAGTCGTCTCATCGCCGTATCCCTCGTCCCCCGTCCCTTTCCCTGGGCCCTCCTCAAGCGCGCCATCCAAAGCGAAATTGCACAACGTCGTGTTGGAGTCGAAAGGAAGCCCCTTCCCTTTAATTCCTTCCCGGGGGGGGGGGAGGGGGGGTGTCCCCGGGGGGTCCCCGGGGGGGGGGTCCCGGGGTGGGTCCCAGGGAGGGTTGCCTCCCAGATTCGTTTTCCCCCGGGCGGCCCCGACATATCGAACAGCCCTAAAAAGAACCCAGAATGCCGCAGATGGCTCCAAAGATTGCCTTCAAGAGCCCCGTGTCGCTCAAAGATCGGCCCAACACGGCCAAGATGGCCCCAAGACGATCCAAGAAGCCTCCTAGACGTCCCAGGGGCTCTCCAGGAACACCCCCACCAAGGCTCAAAGAGGCTCCTCCACTCCTCTCCCTCCTCCTCCTCCTCCTCCTCCTCCTCCTCCTCCTCCTCCTCCTCCTCATCTGTCCCCCTTCTCTTCTTCCTCCTGCTCCTTCTGCTACTCCTCCTACGCCTTCTCCTCCTCTCCCTCCTCCTCAAAATCCTTCTTCTCCTTTTCCTCCTCGTTTTTTGTCCGTCCTCCTTTTCTTCCTGCTATTCCTCATCCTCCTCCTGACCTCCCTCTTCTGCCTACTCGTCGTCCTGCTATTCATCCTCCTTCTTTTCCTCCTCATCCTCTTTCTCGTTTACCATCCTCTTTCTCCTCCACCTACCCCTCCTCATCTTCCTTCTCCTCCTTATCCTCATCCCTCTCTCAGGCAGGATAAGCCGCAGCGAAAGGAGATAACAGACGAGAACCAAATGACCGATGCACCCCTTCCTCCTCCTCCTGCCACTCCTCCTTCTCCCGCTGCACCCCCCCTCCCTTTCATCTTCGTCGTCTTCAGGGTCGGAGGCACCAGCCGTGAGGCCTTCGCAATAAACGAGGAGTTCCCATATATGTGTGTATACAGTGTATACACAAAACTGTGCACACACGTCACTGTCTATCGATTGTTCATGCAGCTAGGGCTCCCAACTTCGCGCTTCGCGCTGCGCGAAGCGCGAATAACTTCGCGCTCTCGCGCCGCCCCCCCAAAGGGAGAAAAGGAGGACGAGGAGGAGGGGGAGAAGGAACGAGGACCGCGAAGCGCGACTAACTTCGCGCCCTCATAGGAGCCCTTGATGCAGCAGGTCACCCCGACACTCGCGACAACGGCCTGGAGATGCAAAGACACCCAGGGGCGACAACGAGCTGCCAGTATGAGCAGCATCGAGAAGCGTGGCGAGCCGCACGAGCACATGCTGACGACGTGCGGCGACGAACACGGCGAAACTCAGACCGTGGCGCGCACCAGCGAGGGGAGGGGGGTGTAAGATGCAGGATGGATCGGAAAGCTCTGTCAAAATCAACCGAGTTTTGGACATGTGTTCTGCGCAGAATAGGACGCGAAGAAACAAAGGCAGAGAATACGTCCTGTCCCACCCCCCCCGGTGACTGGGGATAGCAGCGCTAGACTGAAGGGTCAGGCCAAGGTGGCGGAGGAAATCGCATGACAGGGGCGGGAGGGGGGCGGGGCTCGATGTGGAAGGGAACAGCGGGGGGAGGGAGGGGAAACAGCGCAGGGGGCTGGAGAGGGTGAGGGCGGAGCACGCGAGGGGAGGGAGAAGTCAGCAAACCGGGCGGGGGGCCAACGGGGGCAACGGGCTGGGCCCCCCCCCAAGAGGCGCGCGGCATCGCGAGCGCACATGTTGTCCCCACGGCGCAGGCGGCCGTCCACAGCTCGGTGGATGCGGCCCGCGGGGGGAGTAGCACGACAACGTGCCATCTTATCAGCGTCGCCTCTTCTGGTGGTTGGCATTCTTCTTCAACGAACTGCCGCGGGGAGGAAGGCTGGGTTGAGGGCTGGTAGGAAAGCGACAAACGATTGGTAGGCCTGGGCAGAAGAGGGAACATCAAAGCGCAAGCAGCATACGATAGATGGAGGCAGGACAAGCTGGGCAACGCCAAGCGACACAAAAACATAACCCGAACTAAGCTCACAAGAAGTGAGAATGGCCGCAGGGGTCCATGCTTGAAGAAGGAAGATGGCCAGGAACACAGATAGATTGAGTGAGAGATACTGGGCTAAATCCTATACAGCCTCTGGGGTCCGTCTTGGGAACCTCCCAAAGGCCTTTAGAATTTTTGTTCGGGGTCCGTGAGGACCCTCGTCAATACAAGGTCCCCCAATCTGGCAAATCCCTGGCCTCACCTGACCCAGCCCCTGTCGACACCGAGAAAGAGCTGACCTGACCCATTAAAGCTAACGTGACCGACGGCTCGGCGACACCAGTGTGTCACGCGCGCGCTCTGGCAACTGAGGCACCAGAGTGGAACGATACAGCAAGACGCAATGGAAAACTGACAGCTGTATCATTGATCTCCCTTCGGCTCACATGGAGAATCGGGCCAGCGCCAGGGTAACTTTCGCAATCCCGGGTGTGGCCGGCGCTGAGGCGAACACCACATTCGCAGTCGTGGATGCGGATGGCGCTGCGGCGAGAGCAGCCGTCGTAGTCGCGGATGCGGCTGGCGCTGAGGCGAGACTGACTTTCGCAGTCATTGGCAGTGTCTGGCGCTGATGCGAAAACAACGCTCGCACTCATTGATGTGGCTGGCGATGACGCGAAAGCAGGATTCACAATCATGGATGTGGCATGCGCTGTGGCGAAAGCAACATTCGCAATCATGACTACGGCCTGGGCGAATGCCAAATCAACAATTCAATGTAGTGGATGTGGCCACCGGTGAGGCGAGAGCACCTGTCGTAATCGTAGGCGTGGTTTCCCGCTGCGCACGCGCTGTGGCTCCAGCACAACAGGTAGCACCACCGAAACGAGCGGTACCAGGAGCCGCAGCACCGTGCGCAGCAGCAGCGGCACCACCAGCACCAGCAACAGCAGAGATAGTAGCGCAAGCAACACATGCGACACCAACAGTGTCTCCTGAAAACTGCACCAAACAGCGCTAACACGGGCACCAACGCCAGCAACACTGCCACCAACACCAGCGCACTACCACGGGAAGCAGCAGCAACACGCGACGAAGCCCAAACGCCACCAGCAGCACCACTGCGACCACAACTATAGCAAGAAGCAGCGCCAAACGTTGCAGCACCAGCGCCACCAGCAGTACCACTGTGACGAGTACGACGGGGAGCAGCAGCGCCACGCGGAGCACCACAAACGCCACCAGCAGCACCAGTGTGCCCAGCACGGCGGGAAGCAGCAGCAACACACGCACCAGCGCACGCGCAAGGAGCAGCGCCACCGTGACGAGCACGACATAATCAAACAGCACGACACGCACCAGCACCAGCATCACCAACAGGAGCACTGCAACCAGCACAACTAAAAGCAGCAACAGGACGCGCCGCAACACAAACGCCACCAACAATTCCTCTGAAGCGAGCATGACGGGAACCAGCAGCACCACGCGATTCGTGCTGGACTGCGCGAGCGCCCCGACCCCCCCGCCGCACACACAGGCGGGGGGGAGGGGCGCGGTCGCTCCCAAGGAACGGCTTGCGCCAATCAGGGCCTAGAATGGCAGCGCTCAAGCGCCAGGGCGAGCGCGAAGACGGGGTAATGGCTCGTCGCGGGCCCGCTGTCAAAGCCCGCCTGGTGCCGCCGCCCAACCCGGCCAACAGTTCCAGTAGCAGCACAAACCGAAGCAGCACGCGACGCCAGCAATAGCTCCGAGGTCAGCACGGCAACAAGCAGCACAACCACATACACACACACGTACATATGCACACCACTACTCGCGCAAAGAGCAGCATTATTATGACGACCGCGACGAGGAGCAACAACACCACACGAAGCAGCATCAACGCCGCCAGCACAACCGCTGTAACGATCACGACAGCACGCAGCGCCACCGAACGCAGTTGCAGCACGAGCGCCACCAGCGGCACCACTGCGACAAGCACGACGGGAAGAAGCAGCACCACGCGAGGCATCGACAGCGCCACCAACAATTCCACCAGAACGAGCACGACGGGAACCAGCAGCACCACGCGATTCGCGCTGGACTGCGCGAGCTCCCCCCAAGCCCCCGCCAGCCAGGCCGGCGGAGAGGGAAGCGCTCCCGTGCTCCAGCGCAGAGCGTCACGGCCTGGATCGCTCGATTTTGCGCTGGACACCAGGGACAGCCCCAGAGCAAATATACGCAGTCTGTCAGCGCGAAGCTTGGATTGGAGCCGGTGCGAACCCCACCCTGGGAGCAACTGCTGCTCTGCCCAAGCCCGACTGGCGGGCGATCCCAAGGAGAAGCGTTGCGCCCTCCGGGGCCTTTCATGGCAGTGCAATCCAGCAGCGCCAGTGCGAGCGCGAAGACGGGGTAATGCTAGGGCTCCCAACTTCGCGCTTCGCGCTGCGCGAAGCGCGAAGCGCGAATAACTTCGCGCTCTCGCGCCGCTCCCCCAAAGGGAGAAAAGGAGGACGAGGAGGAGGGGGAGAAGGAACGAGGACCGCGAAGCGCGAATAACTTCGCGCCCTCGTGGGAGCCCTTGGTAATGGCTCGTCGTGGGCCCTCCGTCAGCGCACGCCGCGTGCCGCCGCCCGCCCCGGCCAGCAGATCCGACGCCCAGCGCCAGCGCCCTGCCTAGCCAGCAGCGGCGCCTAACCTGGCCAGCAGCGGCCCCTGGGTCGGGGATGGACAGACCTCCCTTTAGTAAAACGTGGTTTAGTGAAAACGACTTCGGGCCCAAACCTGGCGGGCGCAAGCCTGGAAAATAACGGCCACGGCGCCCTCTCGAAAACCGAAAACGGACAATTCACTAATCGACGTGTCACTATTGGGGGTTCTGTCCACCCCCGACTGGGCAGCGCCCTCCCACCGTCGTCGTCCAGGGCGTCCAGCGGCCGCCGCAGCGCCAGCGTCGACATTGCCCGCCGCGGCGGCTGCGGGCCGCCACGCGTCGGGCGTGCAGCAGAAGCAGCGCGAGCGCAACGAGCAATTCCGCTGTGACCAGCACGGCAGGAAACATCAGCACCACTCGCAGCAGCACCAGCGCCACCAGCAGTGCCTCTGTGAGTGGCACGACAGACACTAGCACCACTGCGCGCAGCAGCAGCAGCAGCACCAGCGCCACCAGCAGCACCAGTGCGACCAGCACGACATAAACCATCAGCACCACCAACAGCAGCACAAGCGCCACCAGCAGCACTGCGATGATGCGACAGACACTAGTGCTACCGGTAGCACCTTTGTGAAAATCACGACAGCAAGCACCATCACCACGTGCAGCAACAACTGCACCACAATATGTAGCACTGTGACCATCATGACGGGAAGCAGAAACGCCACGCGCAGCAGTAGTAGGGCCACTAGCAACACCAGTGCGACCACCATGACAATAAGCAGCAGCACCACGCGCCCCAGCACTAGCACAGCCAGCAGCATTAGTGTGACAAGCACATCAGTACCCAACAACACAAAGCGTAACGACCGGTACCAATGTGGCCAGCACGACGGGAACCAGCGACACCAAGCGCACACGCACGAACGCCACCAGCACCGGTGTGACCACCAGGACGGGAAGCAGCAGCACTACGCGCAGCACTACCAACGCCACCAACAGCACCACTGTGATCAGCAGGACGGGAATGAGCAACAAAACATGCACCAGTGTGACGGGCATCAACAAGGCACCAGCCTTACGCGAAGCAGCAGCAGAAGCAGCAGCGCCTCGAGCAGCACCTGTGACCAGCACGAAAGGAAGCCGCAGCACAACGGGTAGCAATACCGACGCCACCAGTGTCACCACTGCAACCAGCCCGACGGGAACCAACAGCATTACGCGCACCAGCACAAGAGCAACGAAGAGTACCAGTGTGAGGAGTGTCACTGGAAGCAACACTGGTGTGTCCAGCACGACGAAATTCAGCAGAACCATGCGCAGCACTACTAGCGGCACCAGCAGCACCAGTGTGACCAGCACTGGGATAACCAATGGAACAAGGCGAACAAGCCCAATCGGCACCTTGGCGCCAAATTGGCCGCGGATGGGGCCAGCCGCGATCTGGAAGCTTGCGCAGCCCACAAGCTTGTGAGGCTCCGTCTTCCCGTCCGGCGAGAAAGTCGCTCACAATCCAGATGTGGCAGGCACCCCAGCGGTTGCACAATATGACACCAAGCCGAAAAAGGCATTCGCAATCAAGGATACGGCTGGCGCCGAAGCGGCGATGTGACAACAATATTCGCAGACATGTCTTCGGTCAGTGCCAGGCGAAAGCAGCATTCCAAATCCAGAGCCCGACACGCGCTGTGGCGAGAACAGCAATCTCAATCATGCGCGCAGCCGGCGCCTAGGCCCCAGGCGAAAGCAACTTTCCGAGTCGAGATTGCGACCCGCGTTGGGGTGAGAGCAATCATCGCGATCATGCGTGCGGCTTGCGCCTGGGCGAAAGCCGCCGCAAATGCGAGAACGCCATGCTGGATGGAAGATGTGGCTAACCCCTAGGCGATAGCAACATGTTTTATCCGACACGTGGCTAGCGCCACAGCGAGAACGACATGCCCAAGAAAGGATGACGCCGGCGCCGATGCAACAGCACCATGGTTTATCAAACATGTGGCCGCCGCCACAGCGAGAACGACATGCTCAATGAAGGATGTCGCCGGCGCCGAGGAAACAGCAACATTGTCAATCAGACATGTGGCGTGCACCAAGGCGAGAAACACATGCTCGATGAGGGATGCAGCCAACGCCGAGGCAACAGCAACTGTGAGTTTGGTTCCGACGTGTGGCCCGCGCTACAGCGAGGACGATATGTTCAATGAAGGACGAGCGCATTCTTACTTTCGCAGCCATAACGGGCGTTGTGGGG